GATTATCAATAATTTACACACTAATTCCTTTTTATGTTTTAAAAATATTTCAGTTAAAACAAAGAGGACTTATCTTCCTTTATTTTATCACTCATTAATAGCATTTTAGCTTTGGGACTAGGACTAGTTAAAGCTCTCTGGGTTTTTTTGGTTTTTTTGTTTCTCTGGGTTGTTTTTTTTTTTGTAATGGGATTAAAACTTTTTGAGTAAAGACTCTACTTTTCTTGGCCTATTGTAAACTGAAATTATACTATATGCAAACAAAACTGACTAAGTAAGGTCTGAAACTCTTTTTTTCTTCTTTTCATTCAAAATGATATCATAATTCTGATACTAATTCATATGATTGGAAAAAAAAACAGTCATATCTGGCTTCTGTATTTAATCAAATCAGATACTTTGAATTTTCTTACAAAAGAGCTACCAATACAATATTATAAGAGCTGTTTCAAGAAATATAGCCTGGAACTGAAGAGAAAGATTGACCTAGAATCAGACATTGATATTAATTCTTCAAAAAAGTACAAAAGTGTGACTAGGATAAAACCATACTACTAACAACCATCTCATCTACTGCATTTGTGTATAAAAACAATGAAATTCTAAAAATTAAACATGGGGTATACTTATGAAGCAATGTGAAAGATAAATATCTGCTACCATAAGCATAATGGATTATTTCAAGTAAGAATTTTCATGAAAAACCTCGGAATTGCGTAACCAAGGTCAAAAAATTCCTAAGGTCTTCATCTCTACAGTTAATTACAATACAGTCTTTGAATATATATTTATACATTTTTTGTATGATTGATAGGTGGATAATCTATCTTATTTGTTACTTAACTTTGGCACACAAAAAACCAGAATGCATATGGCAAACTCTTTATACTGTCTGTCACAATAAAACACAAATTAATAGAAAAATAATGAAAACTAAAGACTTTTCTATTTTTAATATATAGGAAGTGCTTAAATCTAGAGAAGTAAATTATTATGGCAGGTTTGGGTTGCAACTCAGACCCTTGACAAGTACAGAAGATAAATTTGAGGGGAAAATCTTTTTTGACATTCTTGACATTGTTGAAATGACAAACTTTGATTTTGGTTTTATCCTTTTGAAATTTCAACATACTAGTTAGAGAGGAAAAACAGCCAACAGCTATACACAACCTCACTACCACTACTTTACAGCGATAGCATTTTAGTAAATCAAAGGAATTTACATTTACTATAGACAAATACTGTTATAATATGTTGTTTTTTTCATTGATATAAAAATATTGAAATGACATCACAGTAACTGATATAACTGGTGGGTTTTGTCTTGTAGACACAGATATATAATTCGTTATACCATAAATTGATTCCTTATTAATGCTAAAAAATATAATTGTTGAAATTAGCCTACTGAAAAATCAAGATCAGTCTGCTTTTAATTCAAAAATGTCTTGGAATTCATGAAACTGGTTTTAAAAGCTGTTGTTGTTGTTTGCTTGTTTTTTGTTTTTGTTTGCCTGCTTGTTATTTTGGTGTTTTTTTCTTCAAGGAAATAAATGATAAGTATTAGGAATATATTTCAATTGTCCCAACGCTGTCATAAATCCTTAAAGACCCATTGCCACTTACCGTGATGCACCGCGGTCACAGATGAATTTCGTGGTCCATGAAATTCAAAGATTTATATGTTGAATAATAACTTCATATTAAATCCTTTTCCGACATAGCACTAAGCCACAAAAATGATTCTTTTACATTATTTTACGGCCTTAGGGACTATCTAAGAGTTTATTCAAAAGGTTGGCATTGTTTTTTCAGTGGTGACACGATTCAAAATGTAAACAAATTGTGATGCATCACGGTAAGTGGCAATGGGTCTTTAAAGGAATAATTATTTAGGGTTTCACATCACGTTATCCAAATGTGCAAGTGTCAGAATTTATATAGCGCCAATGTCGGAACATATTTTACATCATGGTCGGGGTTAAGCATGTTCATCTATAGTTTTTATTACGAATTTCAAAATGTACAGCATTCATAACTATATTTATTTGATTATCTTGATAATCAATGAGCTTTTTAGGTTCAGAAACTTGGAATAAACTTGGAAAAAGACAACAATAAAAACATTCCTTCTCTGTCTTTTTATCCAAGTGACGCGCACTCGATGACTTGTTTTTGTCCGAATCAGACTGAAAACCTGACAATTCACCATCTTCCGAACATCATATTACTCATCTGTCTCATTTTCTTGATCAACTAGGGCATATAATCGGGGTATGTGAGACTAAAACGGACAGTATATTATAAAAAAATATTCATTTGCAGCACTTTTTGGAAGAATTGATCGCATAATTGTCTCTTTAATTTTGATTAGTCACAAATGGTTAAAGAACTAATGCATGTGTGAAGGTAGGAAATCAGAAGATTTTCGATCCTGCTTTTTTTTTGGGTGGTGTTCTGATAGTGATGATTTTAAGTAAATAGCCTTTTTAGTCGTACTTACTGAACTAGCCACTATTAGCGCCAAGTAAACATGCGCAACTTGTTATCGTTACCTCGAGTGAAAAAAATAGCGCCCAACTGCCGGCATGGCCGGGGTAGAGTGCTGTCTATGTTTTCCTATGAAAAAAAAAATCAAACAATATGTGGAACAAGTCTTTAAGAGTGACTGTAAAAATAAAACATCCGGCGGAAAGGCTCAAATTTTCGAACTCGCTCTACTTTTTGATTTTGGTAGTGTATGATGATACTATGCTGATGATACCGTTATTATGCTGATGATACCGTTATTTACTGCTCTGCCCCAAACATGGCTCAGTTAACTCAAAAGCTAAACAACGAGCTTAAAAACCTTGCTGATTGGTCAAAGTTAAATGATCTCTACATCCACCCCAAGAAAACCAAATATGTGGTATTTGGAACTCATATGAAACTTAATCAAATTGACTCTAATTTAAACTTTGATGTTT